CTTGCTTTCTGAGACATTGAACGCATTTACCGCTATGTGTGACTCACTGGGTGATGCGCTAACGGAAAAGCATGAGAAGCAAGTAGACGATTACGTCACTTTTACCCTCCCGCTTACGGCCATACCACGTTGAAAGCACGCCATCCCGTCCGATCTGGCAAGTTAAGCAACGTTGGGCCTGGTTAGTACTTGGATCGGAGACGGCTTGGGAATCCCAGGTGTCGTAAGCTTTTGAAATTTTCTCTCATTAGATTATTCTAATTTTCCTAAGACTTTTGAATATCTACCGATTTCCACGGGTACCCTCTCGCTTACGGCCATACCACGTTGAAAGCACGCCATCCCGTCCGATCTGGCAAGTTAAGCAACGTTGGGCCTGCTTAGTACTTGGATCGGAGACGGCTTGGGAATCCCATGTTACCATGAATTTCATTGGCCCGACTTTGGCCACATCTTTGCTGTCATTTACACATGGTACAAATCCTTATTATTAGCGATTATAGCAGTGGCAATAGCCCTACTGATGTCTTACGTGTGTATAAGTTCCGTGGGATTGCGCCCTCAATGTGGGCAATCATATGTTTTCCATTGCTCATGCTCTTTGTGTTAGCATGCGTCATCAAAGATCGATATATGCATCGACCAGCGAACGGCAAGAAGAGCGCTTAGTCAGCAATAATCAATAAACAACCTCGAAGTAGTCGTGCGCCGTCATAAAGCGCTTAGTCATCAACAAAACAACAGACGATCAAGATGCGTCTCGCCATAATAATTATCTAGTTATAAAACAACGGAGAAACATGGTCATCATCTTTTAACCTTTTTTTTCCAGACAATGGAAGACTTGCGCAGTGATTTTCGAAGAGTAAAAGAAGAACCTTCCCGCGTCCGTAAAGAACTGGACAACTGTAAGGAACGTGAGCATTTGATGAGGATTCTACGGATGTTTCTCTGATGGCTCAGCTTCTACTTTCAGGGCGTGGCCTAGCGACGACGAGGAAGCTTAAGCAGTCTACCTGCTTCACGGACCGAGGACTGCAGCCAACGCCCGTTCCTCCTTCTGGGGCGATTTCCCGCACTATCCAGAAGAAATACAATACCTGCCTACTGTTCACCAGTCTTCTTCGTGTTTCCCCTGTTATGTGCATCTCATTATCTTTGTTGCTCCTCTTGTTGCTCATGTTGTATTTGTGTTATAAGGATAAACTCTTGTTATTTAAATGGTGTCAGGACAGAGTGACCTTAGCGATTGCACCTTCCGCTGGGTGTGCTCGCTTACTGGTAGCAGCGAGTGGTTCACCCCTCGCTTAGGACAGGACAGGGTTAAGGTAAATCTTCTCCTTTTTTNTTCTCTGAGAAAATTTTTTCCCCCTCCGGTTGATTTTGGGTGGAGAATACCGTAACATCGTGCAAGTTTTGAAAACCTCTCCCAGCTGCCGTTCTTTTTCTAAGGGGTTTTAAAGTTCTTGCGCAGCTGGCATGTGAACTGCCGCCGGAACGTCAACAACTTTCCAGAAGCGGTCAGAAGGAATACGGTATTCTTTGTCCACCCGAAATTTCGAACCGCGCGCACGCTTGACTAGGGACTAAACAGTCGTCTGTGCTCAAAGTGAAAATTCCGGCCGAGGGTTGTTCAAGTGAAGTTGCGAAGAATGGTCCGTCACGCGAGTGTTGTTTCGAGATATTATGAATTCAGGTCGTTGCGTAGGGTGCATCCAAGTGGACAGTAGTAGTAGTAGTTGTTGTTGTTGTCGCCGCCAAAGTGTCGTATCGTCGAAGTGATGCAGTATCGAAGTTTTTTGAGGCCTCCTATGTTGATGTGTTGTTCGGGACGTTAAAAATCGTGGTGTTAAGTTTAGTTTGTGATGTGAAGTTTTGCGGCGTTAATGGTCCACAAGTGACCTCTAGTGGTAGTTGTGAACAGGTCGACCTTTGAAAAAAAAGAAAAAAAAAACGGAAAGAACACTAAAAAAAACAAAAAAATGAAGAATGCTCAGTAGTTCATGTATAAGTCCATTATAGGTATAATTTTTATGTGCTTCTTCGGCCGGTTGGCCGCCCATCGAGAATAGTTCTTGCACTAGATACTTCCTTTTCTTTGCTTCACGCTTTTATGCTCAGATTTGCTTCCTTCAGTTCAGTTGATAGCGAGGGTCTCTGGGAAGTATCCTTTATTTTAGTCTCTCATTGTCCCCCATCTGTTTAGCTCTATTACTCGCGCACTTGGGTTAGTCGATCAGTAATGTTTATAGGTATCCTTTTCTGGGCAATGCCATGAGGAGTGGCTGCGCGAGCGTGATAAAGGCTCGCCGCCCCTTGTGAGCGCCTGGCGCATCAAAAGCAGAGTACCTATTGATACATACTTGAGTGTGTAGGATGGAATTCTTACTTCGATGTGGGGTCGATTTTGAGTACTTTTCATGCTTTGAAAATCCGCTCAATCGCACGCCCATCGCTTTACATAGTTCAAAGTCTTTATATTCTTCAAACTTTTCTCACTCCACAAAATTTTACCATTTTTATCCTCTTTCAGGGCTTTCCTTCGTGTGGGAGAGCTGACCTTTGTCGCATATTCTTTGTCACATGACTCACTGGTGATCTGTATGATCATCTTATCGCTCTGTGCGCCCTAGCACATGTTGTTTTCNTGGTATTACATTCCAACCATATATTCCCATATCGCTAAGTTTTGCTATTCTTGGGAAGCTCACATTTCTATCTCACTTCCGATCCCTCATCAGATAGCATACCTATCGCATAACATTCCCAGCACATCTGCATATGGGATCAGCAACATTATAAACATAAACTTTCTGAGCTCCCATATCATCTTTCTTGATTGTCGATCTCTGATTTGAATTCCTAGCCTTTCCGGGTTACGGTAGCCTGGTAAGGGACGTGAGCATATGATGAGAATTCTACGGATGTTCCCCTGATGACTCAGCTTCTGCTTTCAGGGCGTGGCCTAGCGACGACGAGTAAGCTTAAGCAGTCTACCTGCTTCACGGGCCGAGGACTGCAGCAAACGCCCGTTCCTCCTTCTGGGGCGATTCCCTGTACTATCCAGAAGAGATACAATACCTGTCTACTGTTCACTAGTCTTCTTCGTGTTTCTCCTGTAATGTGCATCTCATTATATTTGTTGCTCCTCTTGTAGCTCATGTTGTATTTGTGTTATAAGGATAAACTCTTATTACTCAAATGGTGTTAGGACACGGTGACCTTAGCGATTGCACCTTCCGCTGGGCGCACCCGCTTACTCAATAGAACACAAGAACTGAGGGAACTACACCGTACCCTGCCAATTCCAGATCCAGAGCACCTCTATAGCAACATCACTGACCTCTGCCACGAATTTCATTCCTGTACAACTAGGACGACCGAATTGGACAACAGGATTCGTGCGCTGCGCCAGTCTAAGGATAGCTATGAGAACCGACTGCATGAATCTGCGCTACTGGAGCTCCAAATGGAGAAATTCGAGTCGAGATACATTTATCCGATCGCAAATCCGCACTCTCTTCACCGTTCTTTCACATGAGCCACAAGAGTCATTAAGATGGATGTCTGGCGCGCATGGATGAACCGTCTCCAGCGTAACGAAGCAGGACATGCGCTTTTAATACAACCGGAGGACATCGAAAGTGTGGCCGCGGACCAATTACAGCAGTTGGATCGGTATCGCCAAATGATCATCGTAATTCGGGCGTTAATTACGGACGATCAGCACGAAGATAGTGTGAATTTTCGGAAATGCGAGCAGCTGTAGCGCAGCTTCAGTCCTCGTTGGTCTCAGCTTATGCCGCCATAGCGCAGCACCATTTTGCGACCCACGCAGCCGAGCACATGGAAAAGAACATCCCGATGGAAGAAAGAGATGAAGAGCCAATTCATCAGAATCAACATTCACGACGATGACGTAGCGATGCAAGAACAAGAGCAAGAGGCAATCCAAGAAAACACTGAATTCCTCGAGGAGGTCAGACTAGAAGATGCAGCAGATAAAAGGATAAAGGATAAAGTTTTTTGGCGTTAATCAATCCCGTCTGAGGGATGCGCCCCCGCACTCGACTTCCATTCAGAATCGTAGTGGCGTAATGAGTGCGTATGTGGCCTATACAATGACTTGCGGTGGCCAGCCGATGTACAAGTCAGTGCTTTTATCCTCCCAGACGAGTCTGGTACCAATTTACCGACCCCGGAGGGATGGAATGCTTGGTTGGCCTAGGCGGGCATCGATCCGGGATTCGAACCCCTGACCGTGCGTGTGATATAGTGCGCCATTTGCCACTACACCACCTCCGCCCCATGCAGCAGATAGTACAGAAGAGTTAGGAGCTCGAACAGTCTCGCGCCAATCTCCGTCAAATCATTGAAGATTTGCGCAGATAGCCTACTTGCTCACCAAGAAGATACGGATATGGAGCGCTAAGGCCGGACTCTGAACAACTCATGACATGCGCCTTTTGCAGGGCTGTCGGTAGGCACTATTCGGACTCATGTGACGAAGTCGTCGAGGTTCCTGTACGCCGTCAAATGATCGACGAAAGAGAGGCATGCGAGGAATGTCTCGAACACTGCAGGAGAGGAAAACGTTGCCCTAAATACTATGTGCGATGCTACCATTGTGGCGGTTACGACCATCATTCTGCGCTGTGTGGACTACCTGATGAAAGTGAAGTGACAACGGCAACGCTAGCGAGGGCGCGCCACAGTCTAGCAGAAGCGACAGAGCGCATCGGGCAGTTGCAAGAAGATCTACGCCTCTACCAATACTAATACTCCGGGGCCGGGAGTATCGCGGTCAGACCGCGACTCTTGCAATCCATCGTTCCCATGGCTTCGAGCTCCGTCGTTCCCAGAGCTTCAACATTCTCATCTGATTAGAGATTTGTTTCGTCGGGAATGTTTCTGTATACTGCGCTTATCAGCTAGATCTTTCGAGGCAAATGCCAAGGACCGTATAAGTACGCTGGCATGCGCATGAGACCTTAGTTCTTCTTCGTAGACGCTTGCGCCCTGTCGTATTTGTCCTGTCTGCTTCATCCATTAATCTCTTTGTATGCTGATATCACAACTGTGATCATATATAGCCTATAGGGAATCATGCCTTTTAATTCCACCAGTCGGATCGCCCGGCTAACGCTGGGCTCTCCTCCTTTTTACGGGTTCGCCCGGCGTAGCCGGGCTTTCCTCCTTCCTGTGACAAATTTGCTATGCGTAAATAATAATTCGGATTCTCTTTTTTTTCTTAGAAAGCTCTACACCTCAAGAATTAGCTCCGAATTGGGAGCGATTTTTTTTGTAAGCCATCTTCGCTGTGTCCGAATAGAACATCGTATAATAACACAAAGGCGATTATTCAGAGAAAGATAGTATTCAGAGACTTCACCGCGGCTGAGGCTACTATGTTAGCTACCATCAATGTTCCTCAATGGTAGCGGTCGTAATCTGATAGCAAGAAGTGAACCAAATTCATCTCCTTATAATCACACCACTTACCTTTCTTGTCGTATGAACATATCAAAAAGTCAAAGCTAGATCGTAAATAAGAAAGGCGCTAGGAGGTGATTGGTGAGTGGATCTTCTTCTCTAGGACCTCTTCTATTGTCAGTGCTTCCATCCTCCCTCCTCCTACTGATTTTGCTCTCCAAGTCCACGGGATCAGGAGTTATGGATTTCCACTCATTTATTTCGCGGAAACCCGTCCCTAGAGGGTGGAGTCCGTCCCCCTACTACTCATCATAAGTGCTCCCATACTGCCTCCTGCCTCCTATCAAGTTTAAACGCCCTAGAGCCAAACTGAAAATTTTGGCGTAACCTCGCCTTCTATGAGCGGGGTCCGGTCCTCCCACTTACGATAAATGTTCCCATCCTGCTCCTACCAAGTTTGAACGCTCCAGGTCCACGGGGACAGGAGTTATGAATTTGCGTCCTAAAATTTTTATCGTGCACGCCTCGCTCCCTGTGAACGGAGTCCAGTTCTGCCACTTACCAAAGGTGTTCCCATCCTGCCCCGTTTACTCCTACCGAGTTTGAACGCTCTAGATCCACGGGGACAGGAGTTATGAATTTCCGGTCAGGCACACACACCGACACACACACACACAAACAAACACACACACACAAACACTCCGACACACCAACAGACGTACTTCGCGAATTATATAAAGTAGGATAAGTTTTCCATA